CTGAATGTGCTGTCTTCTCTTTGATATATGTATTGTTAGCTCTAGGTTTTAATTGGTGTTAGGGTGTATTTTTATTATGCTTTTATGTTGGTTTTAAACACTAGTTGCTTAGCTAGTCCTCATTGGGCAGAAAAGTGGGATATAAATCTGTAAATAATGCAAATGTAGCCAGTGTGAATAATACTTACAGAAGAGCCAACTTTCACTAAAGCCACTGGGAATGTCAGTTCATTTTGATTATAATGGTTATTCAAATGAATTTTAAGATACTTACAGCAGGCCCAGGTTCACCAGGGGGACCAGGGTCACCAGGGAAGCCAACAGGACCCTATCAAAATAGAAAACAAGGTAAGACCGATACTGTCTATCAATTCCAGAAGCAAATAACTTTGAACAGAGAAGTTGTTATTGAAGTTGTTATTAGAACTACTGTGGAATTAAACAACAGATCTCTATATAGTGTTAAAATTATAAACCAATAAAATGGATTTTTACTATGTTTTAAACTAGGAATCAGCAGATTGCTCATCTCCATCTTGATTATAATTCCAATTTTAATCCAAGAGTGTTGTTCTGATGATTTATCAATTAAACAATTTTGATATATATGTATTTTAATATTTTGAAATGTTTAAATATTAAAAACAACAACAGACTAGATCCCAAGGTTTAATGAGAGAATGTTCCTTCCCATTTTCCCAGTTGTCTGTGGATCTCATGGATACAAACTTCTATAAACTCAAGAATTAGAGAGAGATTGTGAAAAGTGCACACATATGTTGAAACCAATGTTCCCTCTAAGCTGTAGAGTCTTGTGAGCAAAAATTCTACTTTGTGAGCTACTGGTTGTGAGTGAGCAATTTGGTTACTGCATAAATTAGTTTGCACTGGAGCCATCCTTCTTGAGCTAGGACAAATATGTGTGAGCCAGAGGCTAAAAAACTGTGAGCTAGCTCACACTAACTCAGCTTAGAGGGAACACTGGTTAAAACATTTAAAAACAACAACAAAATGTGTTAGAAAAATGTTTAAAAAGAAGATAATATAAAGATACTCAATATGCAAAAGGCCAACTTGGATGGGGTCTAGTAGGTTTTCTGCTTTTATGCTTCTGAAGAATACAACTGTGCACTTCTGTGACACAGAAACTGAAAGAAAAGTGAAACTCCTTCAAAAGTAGACTTTTAAAAGTATGTTTTCCAGTTTACAGACAACTAAGTTTGAAGGGCTTCATGTGCTTTGTTTCTCTGTTGCAACAACTGTGCTCTTCTTTGTCACGAGGGTTGCCAGTCCCCAGGTCCCAGTGGGGTTCCCCCGCTTTTCAGGTAGGGCTGCCAGGTCCACTGGGGGAGGTGCCCATTCTAGGGTCCCCCAACCCACCGGCCTGAATCAGGCCAATGTGCCGGGCGCAATGACATCACCCAGAGGTGACGTCATTGTGCCGAGCTCTAGCATTTGACCTTAAAACTCTATGTTTTAAGAGTGTCCCTCAACAATGTGCCCGGCGTAATGACGTCACTTCTGGGTGACGTCATTGCAGCGCGTACTATGCACATGTGTGAGACTCCCAGACACAGAGCTTCTCTCCCACACACACTGGATGCCAGGGAGGGCTCTAGCAACCCTATTTTCAGGGCTTCTTCCCACTGCCAGCCAGCTGGCTGCCAGTGGAAGCCCTGACCCCAAACAGCCACATCTGGGTGCAACATCCCTGATGTGATAATGTCACCCAGAAGTGATATCATTGTGACAGAAAAATAAGTGAGCCTGGGGCATTTCTGTATAATAGCCTGGATTAGGTCTCTGTTTGGTTCCTCTCCTATAGGATTTTGCAGGTTTAGCTATTATCTATCAAGACTCTCTCTAGCCTGAGAATGTACTCTGTTCTAAACAGAATAGTTTACATTTCTCTAGATCTATCATTTCACCCTCATACTGTGTCAAGGTCTCCCAGTGAGAAGGTTTGTAGCTTCTGGCCTACAACATACTTGCTGAAGCAGGCATCTGTGTTTCCAATACAGTCACAATAAAGTTTACACATAACATCTTTGACTGTCTAGGGTAACTAGGGTATAGGTTCAGGGTGAAAATTGTTCTCCTTATTTTGATATTCTTCTGCTAAAAGTGTGTTAACCTTACATCATCCACATGGGCTGAAGCTATGGGTTCTGAGGGTATACATTGTTGAAGACTTCTTTGCTCTGAGCTGGTCATCAATCAGCTCTCTGTGAGCTCCTGTTGACTAGACCAGGGTGCTCTGTATTTCATACTAGTTTACTATATTTGTGTTGAAGTATTCTATACTGAATATGGAAATGTTATGTTTTTATCCTAAAGGTTTTGTAAGTGCTAAGGTGCTTTCTCTCCTTAAGAAGCTTATATTATAATAAACTTGTTTTGTTTAAGAACCAGCTAGTTTGGTGTAGTGGTTAAGTGTGTGGACTTTAATCTGAGAGAACTGGGTTTGATTCCCCTCTCCTCCACTTGCAGCTGCTGGATGACCTTGGGCAAGCCATAGTTCTGTCAGAGCTGTTCTTGAAAGAGCAATTTCTTTCAGAGCTCTCTCAGCGGTACCTATCTCACAGGGTGTCTGTTGTGGGGAGGGGAAGGGAAAGGAGTTTCTAAGCTGCTTTGAGACTCCAAGTGAAGGGCAAAGTATAAATCCAATCTCTTCTTCTTCTTTTTCTTCTTCTTCTTCAATTTATTAAAGAGATAAAGAAAGATCTGCTGAAATGGAATACTCTCCAACTCTCTCTTATGGGAAGAATAGCTACCATTAAAATGATTGTATTTCCAAAAATGCTATTTCTTTTCCAAACGATCCCAGTGATTAAAAACTTAAGTTACTTTAAAGAGCTTGATAAAATAATGCTAAACTTTATATAGCAGGGTAAAAAATCAAGGATCAAAATATTACAAGACTTAAAGAACAGAGGGGGCTTTGCAATTCCTGATTGGCAATTATATTATAAGGCATCAGCCTTGACTTGGATCAAGGAATGGATTACACTTGGTAACGACAGCCTTTTAAAAATAGAAGCTCATGATTTGTCTCTGGGGTGGCATAGAGTTTTGCTGTAAACCAGACAGTTGCTGTATGACATCGCTGACATGATGACATCACTTCCAGGTGGCTATTTGTCACAGGCTTTCCCAAGACTGGGTTACCGAAGAACAGTTAGGGGACACATGATTTCACTTTCAAATCTGCCTCAATGGGATTTCATGACCATCCCTCATCTTAAACCAATGGCCTTATCTTTAAATAGGCAGACTCACTTACTGGATTGCCCTTCGGTCCATCATCACCCGGAGGTCCTTTAATACCAGCAGGTCCAGCTGCTCCTGGTGGCCCAGCCTCACCTTTTTCACCCCTTTCTCCTTTTGGACCCTGATAAGAACATACACAATAGCAATTGATTTATAGAACTGATATATCTCAAACATAAGACATATTTTCATCTTATAGATTTTACTTAAGCACCATCAACAGAACACAGGAAGTTTTGAACTTGCATTTGGATTCAGAAGGTCATTATTGGACAGGCTTTTTAATGCATGTATCTCATTATAGGGAAGAGGCAAAATCAATCATAGAGGAATTTATTGATAAAACAGGTCGTTATGATGAATGAAAAGATTTCCACTATCATAAGCTTCTGAATCTTGATTTTGTTATTCATGACTGGTATTGTAATTAGGAAATGGCCTTTCACCAAGGACAAAACTGTAGAACTCTGACATGAGGGCTACAGTCAATCCCTAGAAGAAGAAGTGTAGGTGTGTGTATGTTTCTTTAAGAGAACTGCTGTTATGGGAAGTGGTGTATATAAGTCACAAGTCAAAGAGGCCTCCAGGGAGAAAACCATGAGCAACACAGCTAGGAGCAGGACCCCAAGCCACAGCCGGATGAGTCTTAGTCTAAATGACTCAGTGGGCCCCATGAGTCACATGCTGGATTGGATCACACAGAATATTCTTACACATGCAATAGTTCTTGGGCAAGTGGAAGCATTAAAATTATTCCTGGCTACTTGCTTGCACTAAGTGAAAGCAACTGTACTGTACTACCTTCTCTGCATGCAGGTGTTTCTTCTGATATGATTTCAAAAAGCAAAAGAAAATTATGTGAACCATTTGTTGCATGTCTCATTGATCCCTATAATGTGCACATTATTTCATTAAAAGAATATTAAAGTGTTATACATTCAAGCAGCCCTTTGCTCAAACTACATCTTCCTTTTTACCCAGTTAGTGCTGGATCCAAGCCATCAGATGAAAATTTAAGTACTGGAGCAGGGCAAAGATTTGGAGAAACAAATGTGATGTGAAGATCTAATCAACAGTTCCACCATCTGAAATGCTGAGGCTTCTGATGCTAGCTTGCAATACTGCCTGAAAGGCTAGCCAGGCCACATTTAATCACAACTAGAATTAATCTCCCTTACTAGCAACTATGAGCAATGCTAATCTTAACAAGGTGGATAAAGCAAACCCAAGAACCTGGCCCCTAATATTTTTCTCCAGATGGTATGTGAAGATTAAATAAAAATATGGCTAAATAAAAATATGGCAACCTTTACAATGTATCACCACAGAGCCTTCTTTATAATTGCTTTCTCCACAATTACAAGAATAGAAGAGCAATACTTACACTGGTGCCAGCTTCTCCAGGAGGCCCAGGGTTACCAGCTTCTCCAGGTTCACCCTATAAAAATTCAAGATAAAATCAGTGCTTTGCTCCTTGCACTTCTGATGAGAGACAAATCAAACATAGTATTTGACTACCTGAAGTCTCATAATCAATAAGTGATTAAATAGGTGAGGAGTGCTGGGACCAAATCCCTTCAAACTAGTAAATGACACCGGGAAAGTAGTTCAAAGTGACTTACTTATCTGAAAAAAGATTTTAGACAGTCAAATTGGGGAATGCATCACAAATAAACATGTTGAAAATATATGGAATAATAGGCCAACAAATAAAGAAATCCTCACTGGAAACCTCAAATCCCTACAGAGTACTTTTATTGGTGATTATAGCTTTTTAGTAAACCAGATGGCTTGCAAAACAAGTAGGGAAAAAATGGACGGCACCTAGCAATGTACCGACAGAACAAAAAGGAAAAAAAAAGCCAGGTGATAGTTGACTGATTTATTATTGTACAAAGTCCCTACGTGTTTCGCCATGCAGGCTTGGTCAGGGCAGGGGGAATCAGAGCATTCACCTGAGCTAGTAAAGGAACTTAATTGCTGTGGACAGTTCCAGCACTAGGTGAATGCTCTGATTCCCCCTGACCAAGCCTGCATGGCGAAACACGTAGGGACTTTGTACAATAATAAATCAGTCAACTATCACCTGGCATTTTTTCCTTTTTGTTCTGTTGTAGGACATGTGCAAGCAATCTGTTCAAAGTCAAAAAGCACACAGCATTAAGCAAATGTTTAAATTAATTCAGTTTTCTCTTGAGCCCAAGTTCAGAACTGCAAAAAAACTAAATGTATCATTTCGGTTATGAAAAGTGAAGGTTGAGCTCCCCTTGGCTTGAAGTGAAATCAGCTTGATGTTCACGAAGTTTCTGGGCAAGAATTCATAAAAAGCTCACTTGTTTTCAGAGAGTTCTTTCTTGGCTCATAATACTGGTGCATGTACATTGATAGTGCTATGAGCCTGTGCATTATTGCATTACCCCTTCCTCTGAAATTGCAGACGCTGCAACACCATAGCTCAGGCATTTCCCACTTTAATTTTTCATACAGAAAACTACCCTTTTGTAAATTACAGGGTCGTTTCAAAATTTCATGTAGTTTAAGAGCAATCAACAAGACTTTCACTAACAATAAGGGTTAACATTAAACAACTTGTGCACATGCAGATGTAAAGTAGATGGCTCCACTGAACGTCATCTGGGCATACACAGGATCACACTGAACTATGAGCAGACTGGAATGTCTGTGAAGCATATCTGATTTACAATACAGCCAGGCATTATGAACTGGATCAATTATGCATTAATTGCAAGTGATTATATTGTATGAACCCATTTCTTGATCAAAAGCAAACTACCACAACTCCGAAGAATGCATGTCAGGGAATCAACCCTGTTCTCACTAATTACTGGTCCTTTATGCACTTGGATCTTATCCCTGGTTTTATCAGAGTTCAGCTTGCGACACAATACCTTGCATTTATCCCTGGTTATAACAGCATCCATTTATCCCAGGACAAGTGTGGGGTGAAACCGGGGTGACCTCAATTTAATGTGGAAACAAAAAATACCTCGAGATAATTACAGGGGTGAACTTAAGTGTAGTGTAGAATGTAAATTTGGGGACAGGGTTGAATAGGACTTATGGTCTAGTGCAGAGACACCCACTGAGAAACAGCCACTGCTAATCCTGGACTATCTTCTACTTCTTTATGAAAGGACAGGTAATGCAAGCAATGCTCCCTCTAAGCTGTGGAGTCTTGTGAGCAAGTATTCTACTTTGTGAGCTACTGGCATTAAAGTTGTAAGCAAGTGATCTGGTTACTGCACAAATTAGTTTGCTCTGGAGCCATCCTTCCTGAACTAAGACAAAAATGTGTGAGCTGGAGGCTAAAAAATTGAGCTAGCTCACACTAACTCAGCTTAGAGGGAATACTGAATGCAAGTCTTAACATCTGATTGTTCAACAATATGGACTGTGATGCAATGTATCACCTACCAAAGAGGTTTGCATTGGTATATATTGAAAAAACACTGGAAAGTCAGTTTGATGGAATGGGAAAGACTGTATTTCATTACTTAGCTATATTAATCATAGCTTTAAACAAATGGCCAGGTTCCAAAGTATCATACAACTGGTTCCTCATGTTTCCAAGGGGGCTTTGAATTGGATGTTTTGAATAGCAGTCCAAACTTCCTTCCAAATCACATGCTTAACCTCTTGCATAACTAAAAGGATTTTCAGAAACAATTAGCTTAATGGCACAGGGAGAGGCTGCTTTTCAATGAAAATAAAGTCACTGAGCATAGTCAAGACCTTTGGCCTGTCTAAAGAATCTCTTTGGCTTTCAGCTTTTACACTGATGGGCTGACTGAATGACAAAGGGTCTTCAGTCTGGTAACAATTTTAAACACAAACGTAACATACGACTGGCTATTATTACAATATAAAATCTTAAATATGCTACCATGTTTAATGTGCCCATGACAAACCTCACTGGAATTTTCAATCAGAGGGTCAAGAATCTACCACAGAGGCTCTGCAAATCTATAAGCCTCATACTTTTTAATCATGCTACCGGCGCTGCTCTTTGTCATCCTCACAAAGCAGTGTCAGCCTGAAAATGATACATGGAGGATCAAAGTGAAGCCAGCTCCTAAGAAGCACATCTTCTCTATAAAAAGGATCCGTAATTATTGCACTTCATGGTTGCTCAGTTACACAGATGCTGAAAAGGAACAAAAGTGGCCTACGCAGAATCTGACACTAAGAGATAGTGAGTCCTCTAATCATTAGATGGGCCAAAAATGTACTTGCCAGGGTGATGAAAAACAGTTCAATGAATCAGAGTAATATCATCTGTCATCAGTGTAATATCATCTTAATGTGAGACACTGAATCAGCCAAAATTTTCACAATACGCAGGAGGCCAAGTTATACAATCAGTGCAGACTTGGTCAGGACAAAGTACATGTTACCTTGAAGTTGCCACCAAATATGGCACCCCAATGTCCCCATTGTTCTCTTTCAGATGAGGGAAGTCATCCTGTCATGTATGCCTTTGGCCAACTGTACCTCATTGGCAGGGGGAAGTCTGCTGTGATCATGTCATGAGCTAAGTGTTATGGAGGATTCTGGGAGATTTCAAAGCAAGAGTGTGATTTGGTGGCAGCTGGTCTCATAAGCCAATGTAGTATATTGACAGTGGAACACTACAAAAAACAGACATACAGACAAAGAGAAGGTGCTTTTGCTTGTGTTTCTGAAGCTGCATGAGTAGGACACAGCTTAAGTTTCTCATGCTGTGGCTTCATCTACTCAACTGTATTCGGATTGTGGAATACACCTTTTGTTCGGTGCTCCTGTACAGTGCAGTTGTGCCATCTTTTTCAAGCACATACTGATGGTGCAGCCCTGGAGGCTGATTCCAGTGCATGCAGTCTCCCCTTGAGACCAGGAGCTGCCTCAGCCATGTCTTCTTCTGCTGCTGTGCAGCTAAGGATAGGACAAAGCTTTTCAAATTGGAATATGTGTACAGATTTACAACAAGAATAACTAGGTTAAGAGTTCAATTGTCAGATGATTTGGAGCCAATCTGGTTGAAAGTGGGGTATAAATGCATCAAATAAACAAGCAAGCAAATAAATATAAATCCTGATTGACACTTCAGTGGGGGTCGCTGATGCTTTTCCTCATGACATGAACATATAAAGCTGATGTACTATCAAGCTATCTTTCCCATTATTTTTCTACATGACTGGGGAGTGGCTTTCCAATCTCCCAGGCACAGATCTTTTCCCAAACCTAAATTCCTTTAACTGGATATGCACTGGCAATTAACCTTAGGTTCTTATAAATGCAAAGCCCTAATTTTTGTTTATAATGTTTTTATCCCAGCTTTCTCTGCAAGTGAACTCAAGATCGCTTACAGGGTCAATTTAAAGACATGCAATGATAAAATCACCACAGAAGAAATTCTATGTTGTGGATAATTCATGCAAGCTTCTTTTTAAGCTTGCACTGAGAAACTGACAAAAGACGGGTTTTTTGGGAATAAATCTGAATCAAGAGCACCAGTAGGATTGTCAACACTGAGTTTAACAACCAGCATGAGGGGTGGGGCCAGAACATGGGGCATGCAACCTCACTCTGTCACTTCTGGAGAAAACCTGGAAGTGATGTAGTGTAGCTCTAGGAATCTCCAGAAACTGTGTGGTTTTCCCCAGAAGTGATATAGCAACATCACTGATGTTACTTTTCATTTTTTTCCCCTGTTGCTACTCAGTAAACTAGCAGGAACAAAGGGAGAACTGGAAGACCTAAGCACAAGCAATGTCGTTACGCTGGCAGTTACATTGGCTTTCTTCCTCGCCTTTTTGTATGCTAGCAGAGAGCTTCCCTTTACCAGTTCAAAACAAAATCAACAGGTTTGGCTCTCATCATTTCCTCCTGCCCTTTTCTTAATTCCACATGGAGTTCTAGTAGAGTACACTTAGGGGAGAAGTTACTTTTTGAGAAGTTTATAGTCTATAAGGGAGAATCTTTAGATTTCTAGCTCATTCTGAGGAGGCTGGAACTATTAATCATTCAGGATTACATAGTAGGTTTTTATAGCAGCTGCCTTTGATCACTTTGGCCTATACAACTGTGAGCACAGCAGAAGGAAACAACAGGCTAGTTAAAAATACATAGCATTCATTAGGGCAAAAAAACCCATTTAGGGCTGGCTGACACATAAAGGGGGTCTTTAACTATGGTTTCACAGAATGAGTTTCTCTTTCCCACACAGTCATGCAGTTTTTCATCTGATCAAATGTTACTCAGTGAAGTCAACAATAGCGACAACACAGATGCCAAGAAATGTTTTCCCATTCTGTACAGTGGGCGGTGAATTAAATTATCTTACATGATGAACATAGCCTGAAGGGATACTGTAGGCCAAAACATGCTTCCTCCCATGCACCACAGAAGGAAAACAGAAAGAAAACATTATGCAATGTT